TCCTCGAGAGCCTGACGAAGCTGATCTTCGGTATATTGAGGCATTATATATAGAAGAAGACATGTGCAAAAGATGAGCCCATTTGGACGCGAATTGAAAATGTTGTGATAAAAGGAGGTTGGGGGTGGGCATTGGGTTGTGGTGGATTTTCGCGTTTTTGTGGGTGCCAGAAACAGGGGGGTGCCAGGAAGTGGGTATGTTGACTTATGTACTCATTTCAGGGTTGGGTCTGATCACTAACACGACATACATGTACTCAAAGCCGAACTATCAGGTGGACACCACCTATCTTCAAGCTCACTCATTTAACGCCAATACTAAAGTCAGCAATCCACTTGACCTTTATGTGAAGTCAATGTCTGAATCATGAGAAGCCAGTGAATAAGTCGCAAAATGTTGCGTTAGCAGACGGTGAATCACGAGAGAGATAGTCCGCAGCCAGTTTAGTGGCACCGCAATCAATTCACTGATACGTGTATGTTCTACCTCTGGTTACTGTACAGAGATATAAAATGGAAAGAATGTGCCTGGAGTCATATCCGTTTCATCATCATCAACAACAACATCATTGTCATCATCATCATCGTCACTTAAAGCACTCAACAACGCTATAAACACAATCGACCCCCAATCAACATCAACACATCCAACATACTCTGCAATAAAAGACAGACAAATTGTCAAGACAATCACAATGGTCAAGGAAAAGATGACCCCTGAGGCTGCGGCCCGTATCAAGGCGGGGAATAAGGATGTAAGAGAAGCCGGGAAGCGCATCTTCCTTATACATCAAAGACAACATCGAGGTGTTTTCAGAGCTGACAGAAATATTAGAAGAAGTTCGTTCAGAAGGCTGCGGCTGCTGCGCAAAGAAACTACCCCAATCACCCGACCTACAAGTCCAGTGGCGGCTCTGGCGGCGGCTCGTCTAGCTCTGGCGGGCAGTCTGGTGGAGGTTCTGGTGGCAGTTCGGGCGGCGGCTCGAAGTAATCATGGGTTCTTCCTTAAAGTGAGAATATGAGCTTAGCTCAGTACAGACTCCAGCCGTGCGAGTATCTCGAATTGACTGCTGCGTAGGCGGTAGTTTACATAGCCGATAGCGTTTAGGCGAGCTCTACGATTAGTAGCCCTCAGTGGGCCAAGTCAAAATCAATACGATGAGTATCAGTTAACTATGACCGAGGTTGCATCCTTCGGCCTCGCATGAGCCACACAGGTAAAGTTGACCATCAAGATCTCGAACTTATTTTTAACGTGCATTCAATCTTGGGGTACGACGAAGGTTCAGGTGGATCAAAGGTGCTATTATATTTCATGGCTTTTCCGTATCTTTTCCCCCATCGATAAGTCCCTACCAGGAACCAGAACACCAAGTCCCCGTGAGTGTAAATGCTTCCCAAGGTATCATAGTAGTTTATACATCCCCCAAACACCCCTTAATGCCCATTTTTGATCACCCCTATTCTCTCACTGCCTCTGCGATGGATACTGATACCGCGTAGGTTGCGGCTGCACCTCCGTCGCCGGCATCTCAACAGCACCAGGCGGCGGTTGCGGCACATGCGAAGGAGGCTGCGACGTAACAGGCATCGAAGCCAACTCGAACACACCCTCCTGCTGAGCAGGTTCCTGCGGCGGAGCAACGTACGCAGCTTGCGGGTGGTGGCCCCAAGCACCCAAGTTTGCCCCTTGTTGAGGTTGAAGATGCGCATACGGCGGCTGCGGTGAATTTGTCGCCCACGTCTGTCCACCGGGACTCGTAGCCGTGATTTCGGAGACGGGCCTCCAGCCTGGTTGCTGCTGCTTGTTCTCGTTCTTGTACTCTTGCGCGCCGGTGTACGCGGCGTATCCACCCGCCCCAGTGCCGGCGACGCTCGCGGGCGGGCTGTATTCGGTAAAGGGCCCGTGTTGTGGGTTATTGTGGCCCGTGGCACCGATGCCGCCGCCGAGCATTGGGCGGTGGGACTCGTCGTGGGCGTCGCGGCTTCGCTTGATGCGCCAGATGAAGGCGGCGAGGCAGACAAGGGCGATGGCTCCTGCACCGGCGCCGACGCCGACGCCGATTTTGGCAGTCGTGCTTAGGCCTTTGTCTTCCTGTGCTGGAGTCGATGTCGCGGGTGTAGGTGTTGATGTGAGGGTGATGGTTGCTCCGCCTGTGGTGGTCGTCATCATGGTAGTGGGCGTAGCTGTCTTTGATGTGGATAAAGTTACTGATAGCGATGCTGTCGCGCCTGTCGCGCCGAGGTTGAGGAATTGGTCTTCAGTTATGGATATCGGCGTCTTGGAGTCTGAGCAGGCGGTGCTCATGGATTGATAGACTGTGCGGAGGGTATCCTTTGCTTCCTTTCCTAGACACGTGGCTGCGTTTGTGACGAATTTCCCCTTGTCATCGCTGCAGAGGCACTTGTTCATTGTTGCGACTGTGTCGCCGTCGCATTTACTTGCGTCTGAGGAGGCGTAGAGGCATGGTTGGGCGGCTGCTGGGTAGAGGTCAAAGTTATTTTGGTATTTTGCGAGAGCTGGTGCTGCGAGGAGGAGAATGCTCAGCAAGCTCCTTGTCGTTGTGTTCCTCCGCGCCGACGCCATTGTGAAGAGTTGGAGGGAGTGTCGCTCTCTCTGTTCTAATCTCGAGATGGTGTTGATGGTTAACAACCAGGGGTTTTGGGGGCCGGAAGATAGATCACTTTTGGGTGGTGACTACTGTAGAGCTAGGGATCGACAATGCGCGTCATGCACTTGGGCGGCGTCGATGAAAGTCTAACTCGAATTTCGCTCAATTGGATTCCGATTCAGGTTGAGGCGGTGTCTCAGTGCTGTTGGTTCGGTCGTCTGAAAGAGTCTCTGTGGTGTATCCATACATTCGTGTCTGCTCGCCAGAGATGGTGATGGCCAGTTCAAGGGGTCTAGTTGAGTTCGGCGGCAGTGGGCGAAACAAATTGGCAGAGATACCAAGTACTTAGTAGAAGGAATGATGAAGGAGGCGTGACGGGGGGTTTTAAGGAACACCGTCCGGAACAACGATTATGAATCTAGATGGAGCCGAGCTAGAGCAAAGGAATGGCTGGAATCACTAGCGCAACAACGGACGGATTGACGGATTGGAGGCTGAGGCTTGGATACCTCTCACATGGAGACAATGGGCACGGGGAGAGCGTAGAGAATGACGAAGGGTGGGAATGCAGCGGTGCAGTGCAGACGATGCGACTAGGGGGAGGGAAGCTTGTTTCCCTTCTTTCTTTGCCTTTCCTCGTTGTTGTTTGGTTCATTTCTCTTTTTGCCTATATGTAGGGCTGAAGGCTGAGCATCAGCGCAGGTACATGTAACCATTCATAGATACACATTGAGAACCAGATGTATAAGGTTACAAGATACTGGTCCAGGCACGAAGTAATATTGTCCAGGGGCTGTGTTTGCTTCTGGACGTTCCGCAAGGGAAACCAGAGCAAACTTTGAAAGATGCTTCTCTATGAGGAACGTGGGTGAGATCGAAGACATGGAAACGGGACGGGACAACGAAGCAGACTGGAGCATAGCGCCGGAGGATCTGCGACCCTTGCCGGATTCGACGAACCGGGGCTAATTTTAGAGGCTCATAAGCCCCAGTCGTCTGGGCTGGCTGGATGACCGTCAACCACACATCCAGCTCTGCTGTGTTCCTCTGGTTTCATTGTAAAGAGTGGGATACGGGAAGAAGACGAGAAGGAGAACGAAACGGCCTTCTGTTGTGACATCTTGGTCGCCTGTGAAGAAGGCGCATCGTCGTGCTCTTGTTGAGGAAAGTGAAGAATATCGAACGCTTTCAGTCTGAGACGGATTGTCTTAGCAGCCTGGTCAATCGACATTCCAGAGCAACTTGCCAAGACCATCAACAGAGAGTTGACATAAGCGCACACATCCGGGTACTTCATCTCATCTCATGCCCCAACCCCCGTGGCTCAGCTTCCCCGGCAACCCGGATGCCGCTGGAACCGGAGGCAGTAAGTTAACCACACGCAATGGACGGATACTGGTCGAGGGCAACAACAGTGTGTCCAGAGCGAAGGATCACTCGTGGATTCGTGGCACGGTCATTCGGAGGCTGCAACAACGGCCTGAAAATAACCGTCAAGCCACGCGAATCCAATCTCCTGAATATCGCTGCCTGCGCTGGAGCTTCATCGCAAGCCTCGAGGGAGAAGAGAAAGGAAACTGGTTCGGAAGAGACAGGGGGAAGGGAGGGGTCCAGCCACCACGGTCAGGCCGTCAGCATCATTTCATCTCACTCACAATTTTTCCTCGCTGGCTCCTGGTGATGACGCTATAATCTGACTAACCTAAAAGCGGCCCTCTTTTGGCGGCTGCCTCCCCACGCAGCTCCCTTGCGTCATGTCATTGTATCTTAACAATAGGGAGCGCAACAATGCATGTTGTGGAATCTAATTCTTCGGGCTGGCTGTCAGTCTCTTCCGAGGCACTGGGAAAAGCCGTGGGCGCTTGACTGGTCATCAAGTCCGCGATGCCACAATGATATCGAACGCGTCCAACTTCCTGTGCGGTCTTCGAGCATTGAAGAGATATTAGATCTGTTTTCAAACACTCTATAGCGTGTGGAACAAAGGTAAGTGGCTTGGATACTGGTTATCCATCTCGAGTCGAGTGACACCGATAGTATCAGAAATTTGCGAAACCTCGTCGAAGAGAGCTCTCTTTCAACATTTAAGTCTATTGAAGCCCTGCTGGGAAACACAACGTTATCAGTTCTACCAATTTTACCAGTATTGAGTCTATTTCTCCTCATCACCGACGGCAGTAAGCCTGCCGACAACAAGATACTTGCTATCAAAGTTCTCTTCCCATCCCTGAAGCGCCTCAATCTCGTCCGGTCCCAGTCCTTCAAGCGGGTCCAACGGACCGTCCAGATCCTCCGTCAACATATCCTCGTCAAAGCTGCCGAGTGCCAGGCCGCGCGAAGCATCCCGGCCGGCGAAGTTGGAGTAGGGTCCGCCGGGTCCGTAGAAGTTGCGACCGTGTGAGACGTCAAAGACGCGGCCGCGGACGGCGAGGTAGATGGGTGTATCGTTCTCGCCGGTAAAGGGGAGGAGGGTGCGCGGGTTGAAGACGCGGAAGACGGTCGCGGGCGGCTCTTTCGGAAGGACCGGAGGCGGGGTCGGTCGGAGGAGGACGTAGATTGTGTAGATGTTTACGAGGAGGAAGAGAATGTTGAGAGGGGTGAAGAAAGCGTTCCTGAAGGATGATTAGGTTAGCTGACTGATTTCCACAGAAGAGTGAGTTAGTTGACTTGCCCTTGGTCCACGTGCAGCTTCACTGCTTCCTCCTGGAGTCGCTTGTCGACGTAGTCCATGATGATGGTTCGAAGGTATCCGTACGCTTCGAGGGTTTGTCGGAGCTGTTGTCTAACCGAGGTTCAAGGTATTCTAGCTTGCCCACAACTTTGATCTATTCTAGAGTTCTAGAAGAAGAATATCGAACATAAATTGGCCAGTCCCGCTTCGTGTCGCAAGATGAGGCTGTTCAAGCTGTTGTCGACAAGAGAAGCATTGCGAAAGCGACCTCTCTCGCCAGACTCCGTCGGAGCTCTCGTCAATGGCTCTCTGCTGCTCCGTGCACTGCCGAGCTGTGCCCCGCCAAAGCCCCATCTTATGTCATCATTAAGCTTGACCCACTCGATTCACGTGACGTATGCTTTGTCAGCAATGCGATCTAGAATTGAAGCTATCACGACTTCCCGGCGCTGGGGTCGCTGATGATCATCTCAATAGTACATGTATGTGAAGTATTCTCACGTCTCATGACTTGGAGTTTTTACTCATCTTGAAATCTTGTCAGTCTGTCGTATACCGTATCAGAAAAGAGCTCTAAAGCATATGCTGGGAACTCGACCACAAGCCGTGTTACGATAAAGGCCACGGATGCACCAAAACGTACACATGTATGTACTACCATATTACTATGCCTTTGGGTTGACTCAGAGTTTCTGTACTGCTAGCGCGCGGCGACCTTTCTAGGGAACCGTCCCTACAAACCATTCTTCCAATCTTAACTTAATGAGGTACAACAGCCTTCGGCAAAAGGGCAACCTGCTTTCATTTCACTCCGACAATACAAAGCCTAGGAAACAGTCCATGTCAGCTTTGAATGCCTAATGTGATCGATGGGTGACCCAGAAAGCCTGAATGTGGATGCCCATAGGATATAAAAGTATGTCTCAAATGAAATACATTGACATGGTGAAAAAGGTGTTTACTCGATCTGTGAGTTCAAGTTGCCATTTTCAACATCCAATTCAATCATTGTCGCTTTGATAATACAAGCATCGCTTGTCATCTCCGTGATCGTTGATCGGACGGTCTCTGGATAGTTTACTCCTGCTGGACTTCAGCAGCGCGCATGATGAGCATGACGATGATGATGAATTGTTTAACGCCGGTTCCACCCCTCAAGGGGTAAAGGGCGCCTACATCGGCTGCCGGAAACTCTCTACCACTACACATAGTGCGAATAAAAGAGAAAAGCAACATAAAATCCTTAGCCTAAGGCCCGTATCGCGAATCAATCTTGGTGGAAGCGCGCATGCCACGGGTGATGCGAGAGGTAGTCACCTTAATCTAGCCGCAGTTGAGGTAGAAGTCGGTACCAGAGAGCTTATGTAGAGTAAGACGGTTAGGTCGAATCAAGAAACCAGCAGCAGCAAGGTTGCTGGGGTTAGTGAGGGCATTGACATCCTTATCGTACGTACCCCACTCTTCAGTAGCGCTGGTAGGAGAGAACTTGACAGGACCAAACTCATAGGCCCTGAACCAGACGCCTGAGCCGTGGTAACTGAAGATGTTGGTTGTGAACTTGCTCCTCCAGATCCGAAGCGCGCTGGGATGCTAGGTCTTTGTGCCGGCGATCATCTGATTTTGATATTCTGATCAATGAGGCTAACAGCCAGTATGATACCACGTAGTTTCTTTACTGAATCAGGTGTAGCTATGTTTCATTCAAAGCCTTAACTTATGAACCCAATTACCCATCATAAATTACACGTCCCGATTCGCCGTTCCCATGACCGGAGGTATTCCCTCATTACATTGACATTATTTAAACAGCAGCGGCAACCTTGAGCTCCTTCTCGACAACAGAGACATTGTTCTTCTTGTCGATAGTCTCCTCAGCACCGAAGGAATCACGTCCATCGGCGAAGACAGCCTCAAAGTCGTACTCTGACCAGCGGATCTCGGGAGCGAGACCAGCGAACTTCCAGACGCCGTCGACCTTCTTGTACCAATGCTTGTTGTAGCTGTGAGCGTGGCCCTTGACGGCAACCTCCTTGCGGGAGGCGTCGGTGTACTTCTGGTGGGGCACGCGGAGCTGGTGGTGTCCGATGACCTCGGTCTCGGAGACCTTCTCCCAGCGGGTGCCGCCGATGAAGTGCTGGGTCTTAAGAAGGGGGTTGCCGAGGACGGACTTGTCCGAGATCATGGCGATGAACTCCTCCGCGGGCATGGCCTCCCAGATCTTGTCGAGGAAGGAGCGGTAGTCAATCTGCATTAGATCAGTACAAACGTGCAGTTTCGAAGGCAGTGAAAAGCATCGCCGTGGGACGGATAACTTACGCGAAGCTCAGGGGCAATGCATTTCCTGAGACGATCCCAGTCCTTGGAGTCGTAGCTGTCGGCCCACTCGAAGATGCAGCCAGAGAGGCCGAGATAGTCTGAGCGACTCAGTCAGTCATTATCCAGCCATTGTGCATGGTTTCCATGACTTACCCTCAAAGGAGATGTTTCCAGCAGGGCTCGCCATTGTGTCTGAAAGGTTAATGTAGAAGTAAATACAGGGAAGTAGCTGGAATATCGAGCGAAAGATAAAAAGGCAAGTTAAGTGCACTTTAGAGAAGGATATCGATGAAGTTTATAGTTCACCGAAAGAAGGACAGACTGGACGCAATGAACAGTCCGATGTCAAGCGATCAAGGCCTACCTCATGTTCGTTCCTAGCAACCGGACTGCCGTCAGACGCCTGGGCCTCAGGTACGGAGGCCCGGACGTCGAACTAGCGGCCCCCGCACCCTTTCGTGCGTGTCCGAGACCCCTATTTTTGGCGCCTTTTCACCGGACTCAGGTGGGGAGATGCCGGTCGTGAGACCACATCACCTTCAGGCTCCGCGGCTGCGACAAAGACGTGAGGCGATCTGCCGCAATACGTCAGCCATGGGATGACCACTACGTAGTTGGTCATAGCCTGTTCAATTCAATATCGAAACTGCTGGTCTGGTTATGGCTGAAGGGTTGGAAATGAAACAGCCGCTTAGTGTTTTTGTGTGGGGAATCCGCTCGTGAAATCGGAGAACGGCCTTCTTCAAGGCCGAGCGGATTTCGGGCGGGACAGCAGCGTTGCGTTAAAGTCGGGAAAGCGAATTAGGAGCCGGGCCCTCGTATATCCCGACCCGTGTTCATGAACTGTGACTTCTTGCCTGGACAGTACTCAGGCATAGACATTCCAGGCTTTGTTGCATTATCACAAGGCCATCGAGTGCCGTATACCTAAAAGCAAGGTAATGTCAAATGAACGTCAACATCCGGTTACGAAGACTGTCGGCCAAGTACAAATCAACTGGAAAAGATTGGATTAATCCCGCTTTGTGTATGCACGCGTCTTCATAAGCGTCTCAAATAGACGTACTGTTACTAGAGTAGATCGGAACGTTATATCTTGACTGTGTCTGGCACCCAGTGGAATAAGTGTAAAAAAGACTTCCGGTGAATTCATGTCTTTTCATGTCTATTTTAGATATCCACTGAACGGACGAGATTATATAGAGCCTGTGCGTTCTTTACCAAATTACTAAGCCCATCAAATCTTGGATAGTGTCAATACACGCCGCAGCAAACGATCTTTTGTCTGTCGTAGTTTTTCCTTCGAATAAAAAGACCCAAAAACATCAGAAGCAGGGAAACCAGGGAAGTGAATTCTAGCATTGCGAATGAGAGTAAAATTTGATGAGATGGCAAGGTGGACATGTTGTAGTGTGGACATTCTACGTACTACTCCTTTAGCTGAGGTATAATCCAATGGACCGCGGACTATCTGAGAGATTTACTCACACGTGCTTCCATGAGATATTGCTCATCACTACCAATCTGTTTCTGATCCTTCTGTTCGAGCGATCACCCTAGCTAAAGTACAAACGAATGTTGCCCTCGAATTCACCTTGCGCCCAGTAGACACTCACCTGGCGTTCTCCCCAAGGCGCACTCTCCTCCCAACCCAATAAACCGTTCTCTAAGATGTCCACGAACAGTGGCTTTTCCCCTGGTATAAGCTTCACAAGGGATTTTACAGACTTCAGCGCTAGCCCAAGGCGATTCGAATTCTTCGGAGATCCCAACATCCAAACTAAATCTAGTCGCAAGGCGAGAGAGCGAGAGATCGCCCATTTTTTGGGTGAAAATCTCATCCAGACGGTTGCGGATGTTGTTGGTGACCCCAAATTTCGTACTACTGTCACTGGTCGTGAGGTTTTGTTATACAGTGGACGCCAGTTCGGAGGATAGACTTCCACAAGTGAGTTCCAGGGTAGATAGATAGAAGCCATTTGAATAGTTGAGCATGGCTCCAACTGTGTCAACATATATCCCGGCTTCGGAAATGTTTTGGAATTGTTGGGATCTCGGGTAAGGTTGATGTAAAGACTGACGAGATCCTTGCTGAAAGCGGTCCTGCTGCTACTTTCCTCAATCATGAAAGGTATAGCTTCAGGGGGGCGGAAGATGAGGTTGCCTGAGTAGCAGAGAGGAATAGCTATACAGTGCTTCGTTGAAGCCGAATTCCTATCCGTGCAGTGTATCATGGCGTAGAAGAAAGGTCCCAAGACTGGATCTGTGTGTGAGATGCGTGCCTGAATATAAAGACCTTTGTTCGTTAAGTAATAGTGAGGGCTGTTGCTGATCTCACCAATTGTGACATCCCTGCATTTGAGAAAGTCGGCTGGAGACCTGGCAAACAGTCCGCCCGCAGATGTGAAGTCTTCTCCGTAGCCCCAAGAAAATATTGACTCATCGTCAGTCTTCTTGATGATTTCTTCCTGGAGCCTGAAGAAAGCCTTTTCACCTTCTCCGTACAGCAACGGCATATTGACGTCGAACAGGCCCATGAGGGAGTAAGCTTTATCCTCTATCCGGGTAGTTTCTCTCTTCGCTGCCCAACTCATCTTCTCAGCAACGGAGAAATTCTGATGCACAGCTTCGAATTCCGTGGATAGTGCGATAACATTGATACTCGTTATGTCGTGAATCAGATCAACAAAATTGTAGGAATTCTTGACGTCGGTGTCCTCAGCACGTGTCGGAGGTAGTGGACTGAATGGATTTATCGGGATGTTCAAATGTTCAGGACCTTCTCCATCGAGCTTTTCGATCTGATTAACAAATTTCCAAGCGTGGTCGTAAAAGCACACCTTGGGGGCGGCCAACAATTCCTGCAGCGTCCAACCGCGAGTGAACCAGCGGCTTTGGGAGAATGATGCTTTGTTCCTGCGCCATCCGTAATGGTTTGAGACCTCGCAATCTTCAAGGAAAACGTAGCATGCTACTGCCCGCTTGTACCATTGAAACATAGAATTGATGGCCTCGGATAGCTCAGCACTGCTGCTTTTGTCTATGCAGCAAGTGTCTATCCAAACCCAGGAAAGCTCTTCGCCCCGAGCGACACGACAGAGGCCATCGATTTTCGTGATCCCACCGCAATATCCATCCGTCTGAAGATCTTTGAATGTGAACTCGTTGCGCCCCCAAGTGTGGGACAGGATGCCATAGGGAGGTATATCTGTGCCGGAAAACTCTCGCAATTCAAGTGTAGTCGTATGTAATAGCCGCATGATTTGATTTCAATCACGTTGTTATCTAGTAAGCTGACTGAACGACATTGGGAAATCATGACGGGGCGGCTGTAGCCTGTTCGAATTGAGCAATAAACGAGGCGTTAGCAAGCCCTTTGGTCAAGCGAGAATCTGACGTCTCTCATCTCGAGTGCGGGGTAAATTCAACAAGATGCCGCCTTTTCAGGCGCCGTGGTTCGCCAGAGACCACTGGATGAACTACATATGAGCGTATGTAACCAACAGATTTGCCAAGGCTCTCTGACCTGCTTACATGATGCATACTCCAGCCGAGGGTGCCTATAAAGTGCAACAGGTATGGCCAATTGCCGGCCTTTCTCATTATCAGTATCATGAAGTCCATTGACGTGTGACATAGATATTCTAGTTTACTGCGTGTTTATATGAGTGATGTGGTCTTCGCATGCTTCATCCTTACACGGAGCACATGTCAGAACATTCGACCACCTCCCAAATCCCATCTTGGATCTCTAATCTGTTACACCTACCATCCGCAAAGTTGGGGATGAAAGCTTCACCGTCAACGCTGAGTACCCGCATGAAGTTGAGCGACAAAACCGTCCCCCAATGACTGAAGATGAATTCAAAGCCGTTATCAAAGTTGAAGGGAAAGCACAAAACTATGGTGATAGTCATGTTATGTTCAATGGCAGACAATCTGTACAGAACCCATAGCCTAGATATGTTATATGTTTGATCAATATGTACAGGTAAAAGTGAAGCCCCTCGTTGCGCAAACACTGTCCTGGGCTTACTCCTTACACGTTATTTTCGATTGACTGTCTGGCCCACTACTGAGCTAGCGAAAGACCCAAGAATACCTAGTTCCTAGTGTCACCTTTGATGCCATAGATATCCAGTAGGTTGAGGTTGGGCGAATGAATCTTATCGCTGCAGCGTGAGAACTGCCGGGCGGTACGGCAGCAGGCCGTAGTCGCCGCTGGAGCTAGGAGACCGTCCCTGGTAGAGGAGTTGAAGATTGCACGGGTCGATAGTCATAGTCTGGTCGGGATCGCTGCGAACCAAGTCGCCGTGGCTGATATCATTGGTCCAAGTAGCACCGCTGTTGGCCTTGCCAGCAAAGGGATTGCTCTCAGTTGCGGCCTGGGCCGTCCACGCTCCGCCGAGACTGGTGGCCGTGAAAGAGCGGAAGTAGCGGCCGTTGACGCCAATAGCCTCGACGATCATGAGGTACTGCTGTTTGCCCTGAACGGTGTAGAGTTGGACAGCCTCGAAGAGGTTGTTGGTCGTGTCGCTCATGACAACTGTCGAGGCGGTGCCAAAGTTGCCCGGGAAGTTTCCAATGGGCATGCTAGAGCGATAGATCTTGCCATTGTCGCCCGCGAAGAATAGGTACATGTTCGTGCTGTCGCCGATGAGCGTCTGATCGATGGGGCCGGTGCTGGAGTCGGAGATGGTTCCGGAGAACATGGGCTGCGCCGCGGACCACCCGTTCGCAATGGAGGGATCGCTCGACGTCTTGTAAGAGAACTGAGTCGGACCCCATTGATAGGCGAGGACCCAGATGTTCTTGGGACGGAAGTAGAAGATGGTAGGCGCGACGGCGGACTGGGTCATTGCATTTTGAGACGCAGCACCCATTTGAGACCAATCGGAAAAGAGGCCAAAGTTCATGGAGCCCCAGGTTGAGCCTTGGTCATGAGTCGACGCGTATACGAGGTGCTGACCGTTGTAAGTGACGGTGGTGAAGTCCTTGAGCGAGGCCCATCCGGATTTGGGTGTGGCCAGCGCGCCAGTCGATGTCCAGCGATAGGTAGACGGCAGGTCGCACGTCTGGGCGATGACATCTGTCGCAGACGCGAGGAGCAGTAGAGTGGTCGAAACCACCCCCGCATTGGCTCTGAGCATCATCTTTGCGTTGCAGAGTTTATAAAGTTGATGAAAAAAAGCTTGAGTCTCTGTAACTCGAACTCCTTGACTAGAAACAGTTGGCAGTCGTCCGATCTTTATATATATGAGAAATGTGTGTATTTTGACTTGACAGCGATTGGCTATCTAACCGTTGATTGCAATCTGATCTCCCCTAGTTGTGGACCGGCAGTTGCTCGCCAATGCGAGAGAGTCCGAGAAAGTCGCACTGGGATACGAATCTCATCAATCTGGCATTCGTGGGTTAACAAAAGTGAAACTGGACTATGCTCTATGTGGACTGCCGTTTGTGCCGCATGGTTTACCGATACCAATACTACTTCCCATATTGCCGAAAGTAATTTGAAGAGTATGATCCTGTGCTACAATCCCCCCCCTTTGGACCTGGACATCAACGGATTTTGCGGCTCCGGGGTCAAATTAAGATTGTTCACGAACGTTTCTGACAGTTTTGCATTCAGCCGGCGGATCGTATGTGATGCGCACCAATTGCGGTTTCTCGGTTCTCGGTGCACTTCTTCTAACACTCGCGCAGGGTTCCATCGAGGTGCGTTATGATCTTGGTTCCCCCAGACTTCTCCTCTTTTCGGACTGATCGTCATAGCGCCAGAATTTTCCCGACTTGGCGGTTGTGTAACCGCCAATTACCGATTGGTAGTATTAGTAGGCGCAATGGAAGTTGCTAGTCGTCATGGAACACTTCGTTCGCCTCGTGTGAGAACCATAAGTTACGATAATTGAGTCAAGTTGACGGTTTAGTTAGTGTGATGTTCCAATGCCCCCATGATTACAAAGAGGTATTTAATTACCCGAATGAATATATCTTGGTATGAGGTGTTACTACATGAACTTCATCTAAACTACATCGGTTGAAGTTTGTTGCTAATGTTGATGGCTCTCCACTGGGTGACTTGAGATTGCGCGAGCCAGCGGGAGCTAGCTCAGGCCACATCCCAATTCTTACCGCACGCCTTGATCCGAAAGAAAGCGCAAGAGACTTAGAATAACTGCATGGTTGAACTGACTCTGATACTCGCAAGAACCCGAATGTGGCCCACTACTTGGGTGAAGCCCAAAAGGATTTTTGATTTGTGAGCCTGTATTTGGGCACACGCGTCTTCGATTCCACTACATTATCTGCCTGGCATGCTAAAAACTTTCACTCCAAAGATATCTTAATAGGTCAGTGATCATTATCGTGAAATAACCCGTCCCTATACACGTCTTCAATCAGCCTTCCTTGACGCCTATTTCAAGTATTGCCGTTGCTATCTTATGTCGGATCTATTCTGTCCTGTCTGAGGTCATAGCCAATCTGCAGGTGGCTAAAATCTCATCCTACATATCTCCTCAATAACTTGTGACAGCCAGAAAATTCCAATACAACCTGACGCCATCCCGTTTGACTCTGATTTCTCAGGGTCAATATGATGACACTCCAATCACGCCATTTAGTCATCTTCCTTCCTCGGGATGTTGAACGGAGAGTCGCGCCCAATGTAGATGAATCCATCATACACGCAAGCACCCGCGATACCACCAACAATAGCAGCAGCCCAAGGGGCCCACAGCCAGTAGTAAGAATCATGAGTGAAGACATCCGAGCCATAGCCAACGATAGCCAACGCAATACGTGGGCCAGTATCTCTGGCACCATTCATGGCGTACCCAGTGTTGATGCCCAAGGCGGAGCCGATGGCCAGCAAAGCCAAGAACATAGCAAAGGGTTGTGTGCCCTTTGGCGGCGATAGGTTGTTCTTATCAGCCAGAGCAAACACGATAGCCACCAGCGCGGCCGAGGCAAGGAACTCGGTGTAAAAGGCGCCGGCATAAGGAAGTCCAGACTTGGGAAAGGTGAAGAAGAGACCGGCAGTGGCATGTTCCCCGATCAAAGTGCGGGCAGCGCCGCCCTCGTACTCTGCAATGCTGGTGGAGTAGTTCAGATAGACGGCAAGACTGGCGAAGGTAGCACCCAAGACCTGCGCAGCCAAAAAGCTGGGCACTTTGCGCCAGGGGAAGCCGCGGAAAAGGGCGAGGACAACTGTCACGGTTGGGTTGCAGTGTCCACCTGATACGCCACCGGACATCCATACGGCCATAGCCACGCCGGCGGCCCAGGCCAGGCGGCACTGCAAAAAGTCACCAGCATTTTCGCGGATGTCGGCCGACTGGTAATTCAGACGCGTCTCGCATTCCACACCTGCTCCAAAGAGCAAGATCATGAAGGTACCCCAGAATTCACTGTGCATGTGTGCGGTCAGCATCGGATTGATTCTGAGAGCTCCATTGCCGTAAGGCATCCCGGTGGGGGAGGCTCCGGTGGGGAGCCATGTTCGCGATTGAAGTGATGTAAAGATGGATCCAGCCGATATTCAGGTACTCACGCAAATTCCTCCCGCCAGTAATGACGGATTTGGGCCCATGTGTTTGGTGGCCTGTCACTAAGCGCCCATTGCGGCTTGTGTAGGCGCGTCTCTTGGTGGGCGGCGACTGGCGCGGCCGGCAGTACTGGCTCGACGTCTTCGTGATGTGGGTGAACCTCTTGTAGGGAGGCACGTCGCATGGATAGGGGCGACACGAGTCGCTGGCCATTGAATGATGGCAGTTGGAATGTGCCGGTGCGTCGTCGATGCCTCGAGAGGAGCGGCTGGCTTTCGCCTGGATCGTGAATCGATGACGCGGGAGACATATCCTCGTGAGTCTGTTTTATGGCAAGCTGGTTGGATCTGATGCCAAAAGATATCGGCGGGTTTGTCACCTGACAGAGGGGAAGTGTAGGGACAATATTTGTCTCTCAAGATGACGATGCCTTCGTACGAGGTGTGTTGTTTTTGTTTGCCTCTCATCGATCCACAAAAACCGGACGGCAGCACGGTTGCTTCTGCCTCCCGTATCAAGTTGATCTACATGTTGCATTGCGTACCCGCTCATTAGTCCGTATAGTTGCCGAGGCCAAGCTCCGATTTGGTGGTGCAAGGAGCTGGAAGACAACAACTCCGTATTTATCTGTGGATTTAGACACTATTATGGAGAATGCTGATAAGTTATCGCGCAAGCAAGACCAGTCGATGCGTGATTTTTCTGGGTCTAGAAACCTACGAATTTGAACTTTCCCTGTTTTTTTCCAAGGTTATTGGACTACTTGGCGTGTTAGCTCACCGACATCTCTGATGTCAACAACATTGGAAGAAATTCGTGATCTCTGGAATACAACTGGGAGAATATCAAAGAGCTCCTCGTACCCTGCAGTTTTTGTCTTGTTTTTGTCTTGAGTCTCGCTCATTAGATGCGCGGAAGTTGACAATCGTTCTATCTTGCAGGTGTTACAATTGCATGCTAAGTTGGCTCTATACAATGCCACTCAGAAATGCGAAAAGAGAAAGAGCTTGTGAAACCAGCCTGCAAGCAAATCGGTCTATGAGCATGCTATGGTTCTTCCATCACTTCTGTCTGAAGCGCACACTTTGCGCTTGTGGCCGTTTGGCTGTTCCCTTCGATGGGTTGGCTGGCACAAATTCCTCGATGTTTGATGCTGACTCGTTTAGTTTAGCCTGTGCCATTCCGAGCTGTTTGTTCTCAAGATCAAAGACCGTGTACACAGCCGAAAGCATAGGCGCACCAAAAGATGCTACGTTACTGTCAATGGGTTCTAACGGAAGTGTGCACAGGGAACTGCCACTCTTGTCGGTGACGGGTGCCCCGTTCTTCATGAGGGGGATGAAGATCATCGACAGAGGGACCTCGACCTTGGCCGTCTGGAACTCGAAGTTGAACTTGGCACCCGAATCGCCGCTGCTGCACTTCAATGCCTTCGTTCCATCCTGTAGTGTTTGGATATTGATAGCCGGTCCGATTAGATCCAATATCTTTGGTGGGAAGGATAAGGATGGGTTGCCAGAATCAACAAGGACGGGTGGGAAGTTGTTTCCCCCAATTGCAGTTGGTTTGGCATTCTTGTCTGCCGAGAAGGAGAAGGAAGTCCAAGGCACGATGAAGTCATTCGATTTGAATAGCTTCTGTCCAACGAGAGGGATCATCTGCATTTGTCCTGTGAACTTGGCAGTGTCCATCCCGCCAAACACGACGCTTCCAGTAGGCAACCCTGAGCGATGTCAGCAAATTTCAAGCGTACATTAAGAATCCAAATATGGAAACTAACTGAAATCATTCAAGTATACACTGTAAGCCAGCGACTTGGTGAGCCCCTGGGCTTTGAGATTTTCTGGAAAGTTCGTGTACGGCTTAGCATTATTGGCGAGAACGGACGCCTCTGAGCTCGAGGGGCCGACGCCCAGGATGGCAATCAGGGGTGATGTCAGCTTGCCAGTCTGACCCAATCCCATAGTGTTATTTGAGATCGATGTGTTGCCGACCGTGACTGATTCTGACATGAAGGTTCCTTGGATTTCAACACCATTTGCGTACGTAGCCTCGAACGGAGAGCGATTGGCATTAAAGGTAGTTGATTTGGCGTTATCAAATGCACCTGAGACGCTAGAGTTCCTGCCGTTGCTGGCGGTGCATGTTGCCAGACGGTCTTTGCATAGCCGGCTGTTGAGCTGAGGAACCCAGAGATCACTGCTTCCTGTGTCGAAGATCGCCAAAACTTGTTGCGGTGGAGATCCAACCGAGATTTGCATCGATGCAACGAAGTTGCTGTTAGGGTCGGCCATGCGGGTGAAGGGGATCTCAACAGTCTTTAGACATTGAATAGACTGGATTAGGCATATGCTCGTGACCAGCAACGGCTTCATTGCAACCGTGAAAGACGACCACATCGTGCTCTGTGATTGCGGACACGAAGTACACGCGAATTAAAGGATAATATAATCAACTGAAGAGTTGCGCGGCAACTGTTTAGCTTGTGTCGAATGTTGTGCTTATTCAATCATATCGGCGGGGAGCTTGATCATATTATAAATGCGTGCGAGATTCCCATTATGTCGAGTGTCTATCTCTTGGATTCTCCCCATCCGTCAATGGTCCTATGACTCTCTTTCCGGTCGAGTTTCGGGTTTACCTACCTGGGGGTAAAGTCATGAATCGTCGTGACACACTGGTCTGTTTTGTATGGGCGAGAATTTTCCGCGGCTTCAGGATAAATCTTTCGTTACGGCCTAGCTCGCGTTCCGCTCAATGGCTCAAGCGCCGAGCTTGGGCACCATTCACCGACATTCAACTTGGGAAGATAAGTGCGCAGCAATAGGTAACCCCATCAACCTTTCGATTTTTACCTAACTTGACTTCCTTCGGACGAATTAGAGTTTTATTCGAGCTGGTTCTTGAGTTAGAAAGTGTTTCCTGCTATTCCACAAGATCACTGTTTGCCCTGGTCTTACTTCAGGCAGATGGCTGATCTCCAATGAAAGTGGATAAATCAAGACGCTTAGTGCAGATCTGAGTTGGCACTTGGGAGTTTGTCTGGCGAATGGCCACTTAGTTGTGTTGCCAGTGCCGCAAGTGAGGTTACTTCTGGCTCCTGGATTCCACTACACAGGTGTGAAAGCGAGCACAAAGGTTAAGTAGGTCAACAACCGTAGTTGACTCCTGATGTAAGCATATGTGCATCTTTCTCTCTTCAACGATATCTGAAGTCATGAACGCATCGGATTAAGTCATATTGCGCATCCCTGGTTTCTTAATCGCACCTATGACGGTTTCTATCGAGCTATCTCATTTTTCGTGCCAGAACCATAAAGACGAAGCTCTATGTGGCCGCTGCATAGGCTCATTGGGAGGCTCTTGCTGATTTGCTTCTACCTCCACTAACGGTTGTTCCTTTTGATTTTCTTCTACAGTCTCTGCCCCCACTTGCGGTTGTTCTCTTTGAGTTTCCCTTAACGTCTCGTCGTTCGGTTCGCCAGGGAATGGGGGGAAATGAAACATACTTTTGTGCGGAATTGTTATCTGAATCCTGTTGGGTATTGTTTCTTGGCTTCTCCTTCGGCACCATACTCATAGCTTGTAATTGCAGCGCACTTTCGACGGTCTTTGGCGCTTCTGATTCAGCTGAACCTTTCTCATACTCGGAGTCATCCATGGTCTCGGTTTTTCTTGTGGCAAAACTTCCGACGACAGAAAGTGAAGCTTAAAACGACAGGCATTGAGTGGTACTTGATGTAGCTCTTCTTAGCCTAATGCCATGATGTTCTGAGAAACTTTCTTATTCATGACGACCACTATTATAATTTTGCTCTCGATTTTGAAAAGACTAGACACAACTGTCTATCTTCGCCGGTGAAGGCAAAGCTGGGTTGTAACAATGATCTTTCGCTTTCTCATCCAACTTGAAATGTACTGCATGGAGGCAAACTGTGCTTTTACGGTTCTCACCAGACTCAACTGGAATTATGGAGACTGATTGGGATTCCATCACTCGGAACTAGTCCAACATTTTGTAGCCCAGAATGTGAGCAATTTGTCTACCATTAGGCCGGAAATGCAGTGAAACAGCGATAATTGGATCACCTTCTCATGTCCGAGCCGAACGAACAGAGAATCTGGAAAGTATCCAGCAGGGTGCTGCACAGTCCCTGGAGCAGCCCCCAAATCGTCAAGGGTCTGCGTTACAGGGATGATAATCTCGCTATGCGTATTGCCGCGGGCGATTTTGGCTTACTTTCGGCTACGATCTCCGGCGGAATAAGGCTTGTTGCACTTTAAGTTGATTAAGCTGTTGCCTGTGTTTTTGGTCCGTGGGAAACCCCGGGTGTCATCTTTGCTAGCCCGCCGCCGTCGTTCTGTTACAAAGACTTTACCCCAAGATTCTCAAATCTTTTGGAAGTGAAAAGCTCGGTCGGTCAGAGCCAAGCTATAGCATACCATTCAGTCCAGCACATCATCACCTTCTATGTCGTCTTCCAGGAGACTGGTACCTAAGACAGGCCATTCAGAGACAGTGAGATTGTTTGGCCTTTCTGAACAACGTGCCAACGCCACAACAGGCTGCGAAAGGGACGAGGGTTTGGAAGCCCGTCAGCACGCCAAGGGCGCTAACGATCCTTCGCGAGCGATTTTGCCCAATGCCAGGGCATTTTGGCTCATCGCCTCTGATTTAGCGTCATGGGTCTGCAGGCTTTGAGCATGATTTGGGTTTGATGTTAATTTCGGCAGCATCAGCCTCAACCGAAGCCAACATTGCGGCCGCTCCCTTTCCCAGTTTCATGGAGCCTTTCCTTCGAACATGGCGGGGAGTTTGATGGCTGAGACTTGACTTTCTCCTCATCGTTCCTCACTTTTTCGTTGGTTTTGGCGTTTTCGTCGCGTCGTTCGTTTCACAACTGTTTTATTCACTCTTTCATTTCACGAAACGATGATGCTCAAGCCGTCGGTGAAGGGAGCTTTTCTGGGATGTGTGATGCAGCTGCCCAACCTGGCGAATGCGCTGTCGAGACGCGCCTGGGAACTGTCAGATGTACCCTCTCCCGAGATCTTCCTCCGTCGAGCAGAAGCAAGAGGTAGTGGATATCAACATTTGAACAATCGAATTCAACTGATTTAAGCCATTTAGTCGTTGTTCTTGGCGACTACGCCTACATCGATGGCGGCGAGATCTCTCAGCTCGACGCGCGAGGTAACCCGATAACATCGCGAGGCTCCAACGCAGGTCAGTTACTCCAACGACGAGGCGATCAATCCCGACACCTTCTCACGCGGTGGAATCCTAGTCAACTCCACATTATCGATCGATTTGACGACGTCATGGTCCGCAACCAGCGTCAGGATCAGGGAGATTCCGAAGACGCCGAAGACTATGGACCAACAGGCGATGTGGAAAAACGACGCAAAGAGTACATTCTGGATTTGGGGCGGACATAGCCCATTCGGTGCTCCATTAGACGAGCCCACGTCCTGGAAGTTTGAAGCAGACGGCAAAGGAGGTGGGACATGGTCAAAAGAGACACCAGCGAACCCAACACTTTTCCAAGAATTGCGACGAAATGAGGGGGGCGCATTCGCTAGTACCCCCGACGCCGGGTTCTGGTTTGGGGGACAATCGTCAGGCTGGACGACATCTAACCCTTACTCGCAGCCACTCCCGGGCATCTTGTCCTACAACATGACCACGAGGTCTTGGGCAAATGAAACAAATGATGCCTTCTCCAAGTACGGCACTTTGACGGGAGGCTCAGCCGTCTACATCCCGACTTTTGGTTCGAATGGTCTCATCACCATAATGGGCGGCGCAACATGGGGTCTCGAACCTGATCAGGCGAAGCCTCTCGGATGGCAGGACTTCAGCAACTTGACCTTCATGGATCCAGTAACTAGAGATTGGTACTGGCAAAAGACAACCGGAAATGCGCCCACTCCCCGCAGCAATTTCTGCAGCGTTGGAGTCGAAGGCAACAACGGAACCTACGAAATGTGAGCATTTCCATTGATCTCATACGACTTTTCGTTGATACTAATGAAGTTTTAGCTTTGTGTTCGGCGGCACCAATAGTGAGACAGGTTCAACTTATGATGATGTCTTCGTTTTAAGCCTTCCGGGGTTCTTCTGGAACCAAGTCGCTTACGAGTCGAAAAATCCAAGGAGGAATCATTGCTGCGCATTAGTTGGCCGCCGTCAAATGCTGTCAGTTGGAGGAGCGGATGGCAAAACGGGATATACAAGTGCCGACCCCTGGCCGCAAGGACTCGGTCTCTTCGACATGACAGACTGGAAGTGGAAGACGGACTACGACGCAGACGCCAAAAACTACGAAAGCGCAAAGACAGTCAGTGACTGGTATCAGCAAACGTAAGTGAAATCAGCCTAGCACTTGAAAGCTGACAGCATGAGCTAAGGTGCTAACATCAACCTAGTGGTATTAGTTCCGTCCAATGGTCATCCAATGAAGTTCAGGCACTTTTCAGGAAGTCAAATACAAACACGACTGGAGAAACCAATCAAGATCCAGCAGAGAACAAGAATACCAAGGGATCTACCCCAATAGCCGCCATTGTTGGAGCTGTAGTTGGAGCCGTCGTCGGTGCCATCATCGGGCTTGCTCTGTTCTGCTTCGTCAAACGTCGGAAGCAGAAGCAAGCCGCCGAAGCAGCAACTGCACTTGCTCCATATCCTGACCATGCAAAGGGGGATGGAGCATACCAAGCTTACTATCACCCTGTGGCTCCAGGGGAGTTGCAGTCGGATGTACCACAAACTGAATTGTATGGTGGATCAATACCTAAGCATGAGATGTGGGCAGAAGTACCAAAGCATGAGATGAGTGCCTCTGGAGTTCATCACTACACCGTTACTGAACTTGACTCCCACAACACTCTACTGGGACAAGGGGATAGAGATCACTCCAAATTCAGACGTGATCTGCAATAGGACACGTAATTTGAATGAACACGAATTTCCACGTACCCGCTGCAGTTTAGATGTCAGAAAAACGCAAGTAATCTCGGCGTAGCATCAATGTTGCCTTCAGTGCAGTTGTGATCCAATCAAACAGGCTCACAACACTGTTCGACTGCAGTATTCGGTAACAATGCTCAATTAGTCTCCGCTCGCCAGCATATCTGACCCAAAATGGTATGTTTATGACCTGGGAGAAGTGACGACTCGGCCCGGGTGTCTCCCACCGGCTTCGTACGCCCATTCGAGCGGCAGATGATCGCCACATCACTCAGACTGCAATGTCGCACAAACTCCGCTTAGGAACATCATCCGAACGCATCT